ACCCCTCTCACCCCCCCACCCAACCCCCCACCCACCCAAGTGTAAATCCTCTTATTCTGTAGCCCTGTCATGGTGTAATGATTTGTGAAAGTTAGACTGAGGTGTGAGCAGGTTGGCTTTACAGAGTGGGGATTTACTGAGGGTAATAGGTATTGGACTTCAAGGAATCTAGTGGGAAACAGCCCAGCACATCCTCCTGAGATCCTGGCAGCATTAAAACTTAGTCACATCACACGACACCGCTCACAGTCCATCAGGCGCCAACAGGCAGTACACTTATATATCAATCTATTCATACAAGAAATTCACTTTTCCAACCAGCCTCTGCACCTGTTGCGTCAGCGCACAAACACAGTATGGAAATCAGTTCTATTTCTCCTGCGGCCGGCCTTGATCACTTGTCAAGCCCAGACATGTTGAGTGGGTGTCCATTGGTCATATCGCACTTGATCTCATCCCGGCCTTCACCAGCAGCCTCCCCAATGCCTCATCTACCAGCCCACTGTCTCCAAACCACCATTAAGTCGTCTGTCTTCCTTCGCTCCACCCCTCATCTTTTTCAGCATCTCACTTGTTTTGCTACTCTCCCACTCCACTCCACCCATTGCCTCAGAATGGGCGGCCCAACATGGCGGGTCTCTGGCGTTTCATTTGCGGCTGTTAGTCAGGTCTAGTCTTCAATCAATCGGACGAGCTGCCGGGAAAAAAATGCAAGCTTACAAATGACCTCATCTGTTTGGGCGTAAAAGTTACAACTGAGTAACAGAGAACAGAGAAGGAGCGAGTGGATAAACACACTCTCCAATAAAGTTTCATCACCTGCGGCCAAGATAAAACAGACCATTTGATTCTACAGACTTGAGGACCATACTGCCAGTGCAGTAAAGCCCGGCCAGCGCCTGGCCTCGGGCAGCTCCTCTGTTTGTTTTCACTGACAGAGCACCAGTTTCCTCCTCTGTTGTCGTGGACATTTGCACAGACCCTTGTTAGATGACTGTTCTATTTAACAGAACTGTTTAAGAAGGCCACCTGGTGGGTGTCAGGTGGACCACAGTCAGGTTAAATAATTGAGCTGAGTGAAAAGATAATTAATGGAGAATCAATGAACAAGCTTGGGAGGGGCTGGGGTGGAGGGGGGGCATAGGAGAGGAAGGTATAGCCGCTCTACAGAGGATCCAATCAAAGGTGTATAAATTATGTAGCAGCCTAAGATGACTTGAATGACAATATATGACATGAGGACGGCGGTGGTGGAAATATATTTATCTTTGTGCTGCCGTGCATATGATTAAATGATTTTTCATGATTGATGCCTTTAAGCAGTTTGTTTTCATTTAATTCAATCGGCCCTAATGAAGAAGAAACCTGATTTAGTGTATAACTCATTTGGTATTTTAAAGTGCTGGGCTACAGACTTACAACACCAGGACATTTCCAACAAATAACAATGATTGGAATCATATCATTAGTCATAGAAAAAAAGTATTTTTTTCAGCATTGTTAAGGTGTTTTTTTTTTTTTTTGTCTTTTAACACATTCATGTAAGTTTATGAATATTTATGTAAGTTTTGTGTTGAATCTTTTATTAGAGAATTTTTAATTTTACATATTATAGGCAGATAAGTATAATTCTCTTTGTAAAATATTTCTCCTAGATTTTTATAGAAATGAATTGCATTATTCTGAAACATTAATATGAACAAATATACTGATTTGTACCTGTAAAAGTTACTGTCAATTGCCCTAAAGGAAACTGCTCGTGTCTTCCTTAAAACATCATGTTCATAATTTTGTTGTAGAATTCAATCAATACGTCAAAATATAAAGTTGTCATGTGACTCTGTTGTTGATACGTCTGTATTTATATCTGCTGCGTTGGTAAGAAATTATTTCTGGGATGCTTTATTTGCTCGTTGGCGGCCATCTTGAAATGGCTAACTTTGTATTGTGTGTACACTGGTTAGATGGCTGTGGCAGTGGAAGGCTGCAGACTCATTTTTCAGGTGTATTTAAATGAGTGTGTGTTAAAAACAAAAATCCTTTTATTCTTCATTGAATTTTATTCAATATAATATTGTTATTACCTTGCTTTGTGTGGCAGTTTAACTGTAAAAATGTATATTTTTAATTTTAATTTTTTTTTTTTTTTTTGGAAGGGGGGGTTGAATGAATCAATGGATAACTGGTAGTTAAGGACTGTTTCCTGAATTTGGAGTCTTCTGATGAAGTTCCTGTGATTTATCCCACCTCTTGTGCCCCCTCCCTCCCACCCCCTCTGTCTTTAATTAGTGTCTGGGGAATGAAGGAGTGGATGAGTGGACTGTCAATTTTACATTCATTATTTATTTAGCCGAGGTGTTAGCTGACTGGTCCACATACTGACAGACATTTCTCCACTGCTCTTTTGCTCTCCTGTTTATGCAGTAATCAGACTGGGTGTATGATACTCGCTAATTAGACTGTTCCCTTTTGGCGTCGGCGTTGGCATCCTGCCACTTGTCACTTAGACGCAGTAAAAGTGGGAATGCTAATAGCCGTAGCTGCGGTGTGTTTAACTGTACGACGAATTCCCTTTAATGAGGAGAGGGATAACCGTTTCGTTCGTCGGCTTTCCCGTTTCCACCTGCTGAAAGAATGTGCTCGGAATCTGAGGAAGTCAATGTTTCAGGGGTGAATGAGAGTCAATGGTAACACAGGACGGTCAACAGTGAAAAAAGAATCTGTTAGATGATCGTGAGTGTGCATACAAACACCCAGGTATTCACATCCACCCTTACTCAATCCATCCTCCCCTATCCACACACACACACACACACACACACGCTGTATTACTAACCTGTCCGTTCTTCCTCAGGTCTGCCCACATGCTGGTCCCGTCACCTCCTCTCATTAGAACATGGTAGGTGAAGAAGTAGATGCCAGGCAGAGGGCAGGTGAACTTGCCCGTGGAGGGCTCATAGTAGTTGCCCACATTCGTAACCACGTCATCAAACTTGAGTATTTCACTCCCTTCGTGCTGCTTGCGTAGCCCTGCGTAAAAGGCGATCTTGGGAGTGTACAGCGAGGGTGAGTAGCCGCCGGGACCTGGACCTGGAGGCCCCTGTGGACCTGGTTTGCCTGGCTCACCGGGGGGTCCTCGTGCTCCGGGAGGACCGGGCACCCCTGGAGGCCCACGGAGGGCGGACTTGATCTTCTTCCCAGAGTAATCCTGGGGCGGTGGGGACACGGCTGTGAGCTCTTGGCCCGGCTGAGAGGTGGTATAGGGGTCACATACCATCCGGCAGCTTCCGAGCATTTCATAATGGCTCCCTGTGTTTCCAGCATTCCCTCCTTTGGTTGTGTGGACCAGTAGGGGAATGGCTACCAACAGTATTAGAACCATTGCCACACCTACGCCAGCACCAATGACACGTTTCCTGCGACTAAGCCGCGATGCGGCCAGTGTCAGGAAGTCCTCCTCCCCTTTGGCTGGAATGGTGCCGGCCAGGATGATGCCTCTCAGTGGAACAGCTTGGTATTAAGGAAATAATGAGGGAAAAAAATGGAGAGGACTGAAGAGTAAAGAGTGTATTAGTGCGCCTTAAAGTGCAGCAGCGTTCACGTTATTCTAGGTCAGGGAGGAAACAAACAGATGATGGGATCCTGGTGTGGTGTACGTGACAGCAGCTCCACGAAAAATATTTAACGATTACACCGTCAAGGGAAAAAAAATCTTCACATTCCTCCGCGCTTAAAAAAACACCAACAATAATGAATAATGTTTTCTTTTTCTTTTTTTGTCGTGACAAAAAGAAACTACCTAAAAAAGACGGCTTCACCTTTTCTGACCCCGCCTGGTGTCATCCAGTTTAAGCTGCAGCATTAGACACAAACCATGGCTGCTGGGAGGTGTTGACACAGAGTGAATAAAGAGTTAATTTTTTAAAAATTGTCTCCTTTTCGAAATCAAACAAAAACTTTCTCTCAGATCCAAAGGGTTTTTTGTTGTTGTTGTTGTTTCACCTGGATGGAAAACTTAATGCCATAACTGTCAGTGAATAAGTTCATCAAAGGTCTTCCGTTAGCACAGTCATTTTTCTAACGCCCACACTTTGGTCTTATTTCCACGGTCCTCATTCAAGTGGTGGCTGCTGTCACCCTGGGTGTGATTCCTCCTACTGGATCTGTGAACACCAGCAAAATGAGCAATAATACTTGTTACTATATAAAATAAAATCAAACTATGAAGATTATTATCAAATATATTAATGATATTTGAAAGATGTAAAATCTTATTTACGAGGTTTACACGGTATTTGTGCGCTTTCAAAAATATCGTAACAGTAAAAAGATTGTTGAATTAAAAAGAAAAGTAAAAAAAAAAAAAAGAATAAACTCACCACTTATTTTCTTATAGTCCAAGAATTAATAAGGATTACTTTCCAATACGCGTCCCACCGGAATGACTGAGGGACTTCGGTGCCAAACGCAGAGCTGGAGAGCCGCCGGACGCGCAGAAGATGCCAGAAAAGTGACGAGAGTTTTCGATTCGGCGCTAAATCCGCTATTTTCTTGCCAAAAAGGAAAGATTAGAGGAAAAGGAAAGTTGGAGGATCGTTAACTTCAGAGGAAGAAAAGCTCGGGAAATCTGTCAGAGCACTTTTTTGACGCAATTCCAAACGAGGGACGCACGGAGAAACCTGCCGCTCATACTCAGTGTCTGTCCACTGCCCTACTGCGCTGCTCCAACACCTGTTAGAGCTCCCTCTCTCTCTCTCGCCCTCTCTTCCTCTCTCTCTCCTCTCTCGCTCAGCATCTCTGTCCTCCCATTTTGGTTTTTAATATAACCTACAGTCCACATCCAATTTTTAATTGAAATAAATCTGTTTATAAGTGTTTGATATTGATAAAAAAAATCAATCTCTGACAAATGTCCCAACAAATCCCTGTAACTACTTATTTCCACTGCAGTGATTATTTATCCAGACTCATCCTCATACAGCTGACATTCACCTTTTGTTAGATGCAAAGTGAACGAGCAGCGTGTTTTGATAACGCGGAGCCAAATGGAGGCAGATGTTTTCATCCTCCGTGTGATGGGGGGATGAGGAGGGGGGCAAGGACAGGAGAAAAAACAACTCCGGCATGATGTGAGAAGAAAAGAGTGGAGACAGTAAGTGTGGCCGTCTTCATCTGTCATGTTTGTGTGTGCGTCAGAGAGAGAGAGAGAGACTCACATCCCGCAGTCCCATTAGTACAGTGTTTCTCAACCTTTTGTGAGCCAGGGCACACACACACACATATATATATATACATCATATATATATGTGCATATATATCATCAGGAAAAATCCCAATCTCACAAAAAGTAATGAAATATAATTATTTTCTATTTTAAATGACTTCATAATTGACTAAAATCTCGGCCTGTTTAGTTGAAGATGACACTCTTATACTGGCAGGAATTGAAGAAAGACACCCACAAAGATCTTCTCCAACAGCTCCGATTATCTTTTTCATAGTTTTAATAGCCATCTGCTGCCATCACTGTGTACAGTTATATAAGACAACTGAAAACTCAGGCTACCTTTCAGGGTAGTTTCCAAGCTACAATGTCTTCTTTTTGTACCTTTTTGTACCTTCTTTTTTAAGTTTGGCCATGCTCAGAATACCATTGCATGTACTGTGCAACATGAACCAGTCTCTTAAAATATTCTGCTGTGTCAGGTCTGTCTGTCACTCTCCTCTTCTCTCCAATTTTATTAGTTTCATCACAACCACCTGTGACCTAATGTGAGTCTAACTCGTCTCACCTGGTGCCCTGGGTTTTTTTTTTTTTTGGTTTTTTTTACCTCAGTTCCTCCTCCTGGTTCCTCTTGTCTCTGTTCCTACCTGGTCTGTGTTTCTTTAAGTTAAGACCGGATTTCCTGCTTGGTGTAAGTTTGGAACTCTTTATTACCTTTTGTACATTTGATTCCTGTGTCTACTGAGCTCTACGTTTAGGTTCTGCCCACTCCCCTGCACCTCTGTGCGTAACATGCTGCTTAGGACTAGCTTAGAATTTTTTGAGTCTATAAATTCCACCAGGCCATCAGTGTTATCTATAATAACACACTGTATTAATTTGTATTGTTCTTTATTTAAAAGACTTAATAAGAAAGTCAGACTTGTGCCAGTAAATTGAACAGTTCAATGTTGCATTTCACTTGTAGCATTATTTTGAGTAAATTTACTATTATGTTTTTTTCTTAACCATCTGAGCTTCACCACCTGACTTATGTTGAAACCTTTTACTACTGACAGAATTCTGGGAGCTCAGAACCATATTGTTATAAGTTGTAAATGGCTGGATTTCTCATTTTTCTCCTTTTTCCGAGCTGTTAAGTTAGCAGAACTTCCCCCAAACCAGCCTGTCAAACCATAATAAACGCAGGTCAGAGGTCTTTTGGTCCTCGTCCCATCGTGAACATCATGCGTTGTGGCAAAACTTTCCGCATCGCTGACGTAGACAAAGAAATTTTGCAGCATCATTTGCGATGCAAATTCCTCTCTCTTGTTCCTGCCTGGGCATTTTGTCACCGCTGAAATGACAGAGGAGGAATAATAGGAGGTGATGTCGACTCATAACATAATTTCCTCCGAGTCGTGTGTCACCTGTCTAACAGGGGTAACGACAGATCGGTTGAGTTTAAAGTTTAATGGTGGAAGCAGTGAGAGCGAGGGGAGGAAGGTCCACATACAGTATTGATGAGTCACTTTTCATCAACCAACACGTCCTCGACCTGTGTCTCGCTCTCTCCCCCTCTGCTGGGGTACGATGACCACTGCCTGGCAATTGGGATCATTTCTACCTGATCCCTGCAGACAGAGGCGGACAGGTTTAAGTGTGTTTTCCAGATGGTTGGTTCGATTTGGAAATGAAGGCATAAGAAGGCGTGGAACGTTTGAAAATTCCGGAGCTGCTGTGTTCCATTTGGGGAATGTTGTTGTATTTGATGCATTCATATAAGGACGAGGTAAATGCTGTGTCAGACCCATTGTGCGGGTCACTCAGATTGGCCTGTGAGGACAGAGCTCAGAGGTCCGGCGGCAGCATCCAGCAGATAATCATTGCTGACAGTCACAGCCAATATGCTCAGGATTGGATTTTTAAAGCCTGTTAAAATATTACTGAGGTGATTAATATTAAAATCTGTGCACGTCTCCAGTCATCTGTCTCACTCTGTCCCTATTCTCCTCCTGATTTGTTACCTTTGGTTTTCACAGTTGGCTACAATTTCAACAGCGATCCAGTGTCTGTTCTTTTTTCCCCCTGTTTCAGTACAATTATTTTATCACTTCCCTTGTTCTGACGTCACGCTCTCCATTGTCTCCAATAATAAAAAGACTGAAAGCAGAATCAGTTCTGGGCTGTTTGAGTTATTAGTTTGTTTAATAATTGATTTCATATATTCTGATGGACCAAGAATAAATGTCTGCCTGTTGTGCACACGCCGGCATAATTGGAGTCCTAACTTTTCTCTCCTCTGCTCTGTGTAAGGAAGTGAGGACAGAGCAGGATATTATTTACAGCCACATTATTTTTCTTCTGTTGTGACTGTTGTGTCTGCGTGGGCTTTTTTAAGGCACGGCAAGATTTAAATATCTTAAAGGCAAAGTCTTTTAAATAAAAAAAAACTTATTTGGCCCTTGATTGAGTATCACTTTCTAGTGTTTAAAAAAGCACAGCCTGAGATCGGATGTGATCCAAGACACTGGTCTGTAACGATTCAGTGTTTGTAACATATTGTGTTTGACTGCGGCACCGTCACACAATCCAGTCCAGCAGGAGAGAGTGTGACCAACACACTTTGTGCATCACCTCCGCTGGATGATGACATATCGTCCTCCAGAGGCGTGTAGCTGCTGGAGGCCTGTCACTCCCGGGGGAACCACTGCTCACGTCTCGCCCAGTTAACGCTGACGGGTGTCCACGCAGCTATTAAGATCCCATTCCTGGCTGTGTGGATTACTGCCTTGTAAATCAATTTTGAGGTCATTAGGGATATAAAGAGGTGATTTGGGGGAAAGACCGAGACCAGGGAGAAGTGTACGGCTGGACAAAGGAAGGACACGCCCTGCTGCATTTACACTGGTGTCTCTGAGGAAAATGACGCGTGACTCACACGGCTGCGGCTTGTAGTTAGCAAACCAACGATGTATGTCGAGTCATCTTAAATGGAATAAAATATTGTAAATGCAATATATGTAGTTCAGCAGTTTATGGATATTAAAAACAAATAGTTTTGTCAAATACATCCAATTAACAACATCTCTTAGGTTATTTAGAATATTTCCTACATGTATAAACAGTTCAGGACAAATTATTAGAAAGTAAAAAAGATATATTTTGAAAGTACTAGTACCAAAAACATTTGTAACGAAATAAATATAATTAAAAAAGACAGATTTGCATTTCTAAATATATTTCTTTTTGGGAAATAATACTGTAAAAAATGTACGTAGTAAACTAAGGGCTGATACACCATGTAAGATTTTAGTTTTTTGGTTGAATT